TTCCTTCCTTTTCATGGAGCATTGTATTATGTTGTAGCATTCTGGTCGCCGCTTCTGTGCCATCATCCTTATTTTAATCCCGCACAATCCGTGGCGGGCAGGGTGTATGCCCTCCTGTTTTATTCCAGTGGGAGCGTTCGATACCCCCGTTAAATAAATGGCATGCTCCAACTCCTGAAAGCTGCCCCAGAACATCAAGGTCTCATTTATGTCGTTTTTCATATGTTCACCTGTGGATATATTTTGATGGTCGCGTTTGGGCGCAATGGCCTGCCAAAATGATCTCCCTAGGTCCCTAGAAGCAATGAGCGGTGCAGTATTGCGGAAAAACTGATGAAACTTCTATCGTCTTACTGTATCACAGCATTGGAGTAAAGTAAGCAATAAAAATTTTTTTCTTCATACGGTAAGTTTTCACCGTTTAAACAAGCGGCATTACTTGTAGTGTCATATATTTATTGGTGGTACTGGTAACTCCCACGCATGGAAGCAGTTGCAGAACTTGAAGTCACATTTTATGTCATTTTTCATACGGCAATGCCATTCACGAGCAACAAATGCGTATATCGTAAAATGTCTCTGTTGCAGAGGCATCAGATCGATGAGAAACGCGTACGAAGCTGCCAGTGTGTTCTTTGGCAAAGCGGAACTGAGCGTCGAGCTTTCAAAAAGTTTTCATGAATTTTTTGCCATGAAGCTAAACGACTGGATTCAATTGTATGCACCAGCTGTCCAACTGTCCCGCAGTCCGTCGAGCATCGCCATTTTGGCATTATCCTATGTTTGGCTAACGGCTTTGCTGTTAAAACAACTTTCTTTGTAAATCGATCAGTTGAAATCCTATACAAAAACAACCAACGTGGCATCTGGCCGTTGTTCCGCCAGATTTGTGCTGACCGTTCGTTAATCGCCTTCGTCCTCGCAGCCACGTCTTCATCTGTTGAAAGCCGGTGCATTTATTAAGGAGTGTTCGGAGGTTAGTCGCAGAACGAGAACCCCTAATGTGAGTATGAACTTTCGCATCGTCTGATTGTTGGAAAAACCGGAAGTGCTCGACGGTCATTTCAGCTGTCCAGCAGATCCTCGTATCACCTCACGGTTTGCCCTCGTTCAATAATCTTCGTCATCTGCTTAACCTGGCATCGGAACCTGTTGCGGAAAATTGTGCCTCCGCCCTGTAGGCATTTTGAAGCTCCATTCGATCCGAACTTGTGCAGAAAATTACTCTGAATCATGACCCTGAGTGCCATGTGACAGTTACGGTCAGCAAGCTCGATTACTGTAGCTCTGTTATGTTCCTCGAATGTTACGTCAACATGTTGAGGAGCTAGCTGGTATGACTAAAGCAGAGGTTGTACGCCAGAGCGATGTATGGACCTCATCTTAAGAGACAACCGTTGAGGCCTGCTTGCTCGCCTTCTGCAAAGTCGAGATCACTGGGCTATAATAGCAAACGACTTTTGTCCACAGAACAACTGTAGCCAATCCGAGCCCCCAAAGTACTACCGTTAATACATAACGACTTATTGGTTGCTTTATTTTTGCCCAAATGGGACCGGACGAGGACCATTCGGTGCACGTACGATCTGGTTCCATGAATTTAAACAAATTCATCGATTGCATTATTATTCTGCCACAGACCTAAGCGTAATGATCAATCAGAGCTCAC